AATTATTATTGAAAACTTGAAATCATTTGAAGGCTATTTCGTCACAGTATGGGACTCTTTGGCAGAGTGCATCAACGATCCTGTATGCTGGATACAAACCTAGGTCCTTTGATCGGTAGCTATGTTACTTGATAACTGAATAAGTAGTCCTATGACAGCATTGGGATTTAAATATTTTAGGGAATAAAAATAAGTTACTATGGTGTCTTATTCAAATGATATCTTAAAAAAAAACTCCTAATTGACTGAATTGAAACTGTGTTACAGAAAAAAACTCACGTTCATAGACCTTTATGATAGGTTAATGGATTGATTTATTTTACCTTTAATTATTTACGACATATTAAGTATTAAATTTATCAACATAGACTGTTACATATAATCTAACCATTAAATAATATTAGTAGTTGAGATCATGAGACAGTTGAAGCTAGACCAGAATGGAAAGCCTGGGTTCGAATGTCGCGAGGTGGGACCGTGGGTGGGCACTGCTGAGGAGTCCCACAATAGGATGAAACGGCCGTCCAGTACTTTTACGCTTTCCATGGTGAACTACCTTCAATTGACTCGTGATCTCAACTATTAAAATACTATAATACCCGCGAAAACCCCTTCTGATATTATGCAACTAATTACTACTCTTTGTTAAAAATCTACAGAATAAAGATATTTATATGTTTCAATTATACAATACCCATTTCTGTAAATATTTAGATATGTATACATGAACTCTGATTCGTAAAATATCTTTACAAACACTTCAAAATAACTAAATGGCACTTGAATACTGTCTAACTAAATTTTTTTTAAAAAAAAAAACATGTAATGTATACTTAGTTTCGGAATAGGGAGGTGTTTGCGGATATTACAGTAATTTCAGTAGTTGAGATCACGAGTCAATTGAAGCTAGACCACCATAGAAAATCTGAAAGCACCAAACTATCGTTTCGTCCTATTGTGGGATTCCTCAACAGTAGGTACGTATCCGCGATCAACGATCCACGATATGTAATTGTTTCTCCTCTCAATCAGTGTCCAAATTTTAGTTTGTGAGTATCTGTGTTACATTTGTATATATACATGGAAGATGGACAAACATAAACACCTGTTGCACATATTTTTTTATTATCTTAAAACAGGAAAAAAAACAAACATAAATTTCTATGTTTATTGATTATTCCATTTGAAAAAAGGTAGGCAGGTAAGCGTTTCAAAATTTAAACCAGAACAAACAAACAAACAAACAAGATCACAACACAGATAAACTAGATACTGCGTTTTTTTTCTTTTTTGATAAGCCTTGGTAACATAGAAAAATGAAAACGAATTTTTCTTTGTTTATTATTGAATTAGCTAATTATATAAACAATATTCTAGCAACAACCATAACAAAACTACTGTTAAAGTCTGCATTAAGAAATGATGATATGAATAAAGTAATATTTTCGTTTTAAATTAGTTGTTATCCATGAAAATATCGGAGGTAATGAATAGTGTTAGGACAGAGTGAATTGGAGAATGCTGATCGCCAGACCGCCGATCAGCATTCTCCAATTCACTCTATTGGGAGTAACAGGAGTAAGTAGGTAAGTAATGAATGAATAGTGATTTCTTGATGTTCATTGATATGTTTAGTCAAGAATAAATATTCATATATTACATATTTTAAGTTAAAATCCTTAGCCTTCATGAGAAACGCAAGATCTTATAATGAAGACTTAAATGTTTTGTAGAAATACATTCAGTAAATGAATATTTGCTTCTTTTTGTTCAATGTTGATGATACAAGGTAGATTGATAGAATGGTGTTATCTAAGAGAACCATAAACAAATTATATCCAATGATCTATTATTGTACTTGATATGATTTCATAAAAGATAAGTAGTGACTTGGAGTTCTGATTGACAAAGGTCCTGAGATTGGTTTGAACATCCATGAAAGTATCGGTATTTATAAAGTTTCAGGGACACTTTTGCATAATTCAGAACAGTCAATTAAATATGAATTTGTCAGGTTAGATTTTAAAGTAATAGTCAAATAGTCTCATAGAACCAAACAATGAGTTTGTATGTTTATCTAAATGCTTTTGTCTGGTCAAACAAATGTTCGAATGGCTTTACTAACCACCCAGTACATTCAGTTACCGTATACATAGTCCCGTTTAATTTTATAACACATTAAAGAGTTCATAAACATTGTGAATTATTTGATTTGTCAAGTAACTTTCACGTCGATAAACACATTTACGTAGCAAAATAGTATTAATACTGTTACTAGTTCATGGGGTATCGATTCACTTAAATTAGTGAATATGTTACAACCTGATCGATGGAATTTAATTAACACTAAAGACAAGACAAACATAACATTCATTAATAAATAGTGATCAGTTAACACGAACAGTTCGTTCCAGAAGGAACATTAGTTACTTTGTAGATATGACGATGACTAAATGAGATTAAACCTAATTCCAGGACTTTCTGTCGATATCTTACAATCATCAAATATTCCCTATTCTTTACATAAATGAAGTTAAAGTAGTCATTAAGAAGTACTGTTTTGTTATATCCCAAAAGCTGTCAGTGTCTCATGTCCTATAAAAATTGGATTCTTGTCCCAGAGAGCTGTTTGTAATCATTATTTTCCAAACACAAATGTTCCTAAAAACTTGAATAAAATCTCAGATTCATATTTTATTGATTTTTATTAGATTTTTTTGGTGAAACTATGATTTTCGGACGACCTTTGAGCGACGCTAAAGTGACCTTGACAATGTCCACCTACTGGCTAGGACTAAATGAGGATTATAACCAGTGTGAAGAATTAGATTTAGGGTTTTCATCACAAACTAATATCAACTATAATGCCAAAATGCTACTTTGCCAAATATATGGATGAATCTCGTGCCAAAATCTTATATCTGATTGATACGTCCATAAATTATAGTCTCGCCGATTTTTTGGCAGATACTATTTTAAAATTCATCGTGGAACAGTGTTTCTGTAAATTACACATCAAGAAATGTCGTTTAATAACTGTTCAATAAATTATCAGAATCAGTAATCACTGCATTCCTAATAAAAACGACATAAATCGATTTCAAATAGTACCATTTGAAATAGTGAAAGATCATTAAATCGATTATTCATAGTGTGACATATACTACTTATGTCTATCGACATAAGTAGTATGTAAAACCGATTGGAAGTGGAAACGCTGACAACAGAAAGCTAAGAAGATCGAGTTGAAGAAAATAGAAAAGAAAATATAAAGAGATTTTGAGTCGGAAAAATCAAACATGAGATTATATAAGATTATATTAATGTCTTAATCTCTTCATTCACCACATAAATCATTGAATAATCTAGTCAACTATAATAAAAACGAAAGAGATTTGAAACTCAAAGCATTGGATCAACAAAACAGATAGAAATACTTTTCATTATTGATTGACAGATATTGTTATGTGAGAAGTTTGTAGTTTCTAATCAGCTATTAAAAAGAATAAATTTATAAGGTGTAATACAACCATAAACAGAGACTTAACACACATTAATCAATGAATTTTAGATGGATGTTTTCGAAATGGACCCAAAAGTCATAAGAATAGGAGCCGAAATATATGATTCAACATAATTATGATTTATGAGTAATTATATACTTAAAAGTATCAGAATAGTAAAAATAATAGCACTGCAGAATGAAAGGAGTACTATTATGGTTGCTAATAATCAGATTTAAAATAAAATGATTATGTGATTGTTATAAAAATAGTAACTGGGTGTATAGTTTCATTAAAAACATAAACTGATCTAGTTTAGACTACCATCAGGAAGCTGGAGGCATTGGACGACCGTTTCTCCTTATTATGGGACCCCATCCACGATCCCGCAAGCAGAAATTAAATCTATGCTATCTTTCTGTACATGTAGGTCAGGCGAAGAAGGTTTGATAGTGATTGTTTCTGCATAACAGGGTGAAATCAATATTGATTGTTTATTAACTATTTCGAACGCATTGCATTTATATGCACTATTCAACATGAACCAGAAGACTGAATATATGAATACTTTACCGCCTTTCAGGCATAGGTTCCTATAAACGTGTTCAGATAACCTGGCAGAAACGTTTCTCTTTGTCATTTCTGAATATTTACTGCGTCAGGTATATATAAATTCAGGTATGTAACTGAAGGTGACTTCAAAGGGCATTGGACTATCTTTGACTATTTTAAAGGACTTTTGGTCTTATATAATGAAACTAGCAATGTGCCCTTGAATCTTCCATCTGTTCTTCCTGAAATCTCGTCTCCTTTTAAACAGAAGGCATTTGGGTACCCATTCGTTATTATTCTTTCTTCGCTAACGTCTAATTTGTCACTTAATTTGTTGTTTTGAATATAATAGTTTAGCTAATAAAGAGATCGTTTTGACCACACATAATTTGTAACTTGTGGAACGAAAGCTGTTACAGTTTAAACAATTTTCTTTCCTATAAATACTCTATTCAGCAGTCTCATAATTCCTTTATCTTCAGCCATTCTTCTTGGTCATTTATATATTTACAGTGAAAGCGCAAACACATTAAAATTGAAGTCTATATTTGATATGAAAGAAATATATGATTCATATATAAATAAGTGTCATATTAGTAAAATCCCTGAATGTTTTGATGATGAACTATGACTACGGACCACTTCAATACGCATATACTAATTAATTGCTCTTGTCGACCCGATTACATAACTTTTTCCAAACGTAACAAAAATCATCAACTCAACCCTATCTGGAGTTTCTATTTGTTGTCTAGAGAGTTAATAAAGGCTTTATCACTAAACCCATTAATTTGAAAAAATTAACACCAAATGTATCATGTTACTATGGTAATGGATTGTTTTAGTGACTTCATTATACACGACACTGTTTTCAATTTTCCCGTAAAAAACAGCGCATAAAAGTTAACCCAGAAACAATTCGAAAAAACGAGATTAATAACTTACAAATTATGATGGTTCGTTTGATTAATTTCATCATCTACCATATTGTTGGTAGGAAGTGCGGATTTGAAGTCATAATTATTACTGTTATTACTTATTAGTTGATTTCTGAAATCTTCTTGCCTGGTATCAGTGTTTGTGTTAATTCCTTGAATGAATCGATCATTATTAGCTGATGAATGCCTCATTGAAGGTGGCCATTCATAACGGCCATCATGTGTAGCGGAGATTGGTAGAAATGGAATTGTATTTCCAGACATTGTTTGAAAATTATTATTACTGCCTTCTAAACTTGATGCATTCGTCAAAGGTATTGATCTTCTAGGATCTTTAAAACAGAAAAGAAGTTGACGTTTAGTGTACAAAAAAAAACAATGTAAACCGCAGAATAAAATTTCTAAACCTAATGTCCTATTACTAAGAGAAAAAATTTTAGGTAATGGAATAATTGACTAGCTAACTGAATATATTACCATTCAGGTAAATTAAAATCGAGGTTTTCAGTCTTCGTGGACTAATCATAGCCAGATAATCACCAAAAGATCGAAAGAATTGGACAGTTGTTTCCTCCCAGGACAGGGCTCTTCATTAGTACATATCTACGACTCCGCAGAAGATGGGACCGAGGACGTTTGATTTCTTTACGATCATCTCATTTCTAGATCACATAGCCAGCGTTCAGTATTTTGTACGTTACACTTCAATCAATCTGTAAAATTACACAACCATCTTTCACTTTCATTGTTGAATAAGTCTTCCACACCCTACAAGGTTGAACTTGCCTAGTCGCAAAAATTACATGAATTGTCTTTTATATTGATCCCCTACAATCATATAACTTCAAACAATATACGCCGTGGTCTTAAGTCATTCAACATAATAGAGAAATTGTGAAGCTGATCTTAAGGATTCGATAAAGACCAAGGCTTCACGAATATCACATGATGAAACTGGTGCGTCACTTTGATCATCTAGCTTTTCTAAGTTCATTCGATTTGGCTTCGGAGGAGACCTCTACATTATCATTAATCCTTAACTGAATGGTTTCGTAAAGTAACACAATTTAAATTGTGGTTATTTATGATACTCAGTTTTTCAGATTGAGAATGAAGAACAACCCTAAACCTATAACTTTAGTTGAATGATAAATAAACCAATAGAAACGTATTCAAAAGTTTTAACAACTTACTACCTTCGATACAGTTTACTCTACAACTATACAACTTATACTGAGGTATTTAATAGGAAAAAAATTATATTATTACTCATCCAATTTTACCTACTAAAAGTAGTTTAAAAGTTTTAGTGCTTATAAGTAGAAATCTTAAGGAGTAAAATTTACTTCACTCTACTGAATAAATATATTTATTGTTACACTTAATCTTATTCTTAAGAAAACATCTATCCTTAACTAACGAACGCATGATTCCATTGTAAAAATCAACCCATACTTTTTATAAAACATTTGAACTACTAATGAGTAGTTGAAGTTTATATAACTAAATTATGAGCTAAATTTCATATACCCATCTATTGTACGCCTATTTTCGATTCAAGTCTGTCAGATCGTATACTAAGAATCACAATACTGTACTATGGGTTTCTAGAAATTCAAAACATATTTCTTTTTTTCAAAAAGAAAACTGTCAACAATCATAAAATTTGGATAACTTGTTTACCGAATCCAAACTTCTCATCCTCTAAAATTAATCATTGTAATATCTAACTTATTAATGGCATTTTATTTAGGTGAAAACTTTAATTTTATTAAATCTACACTTAAATTTCGGTTAAACTTTCATAATAATTATAAAGTTAACACCTAAAGGGAAATAAGAAACATGAAATGTCAATTGTTTATTTAACTATTTCATTGAATAAATAAAATGTTGACCAGAAAGTCAATATTACAATGAATAATCAATAAGATATTAGTGAAACGACTCATTAATTATTAATTATTAATAGTTTTATTATTATTATTTTGTAAAGAAGTCCATTTTCTACCTGGTGGCCTTTATAACGTATGAAATGGTGTAATTTATTTCGTTTCTCCTTCTATCATTATTATTATTATTTGTTACACTAATGATTACATTAATTAACATGAATGTAGAATGATTAATTTTCATTCAAATATAACTAAGATATATTTGTCTTGTTATCTATCATCTCCACCATTATCTCGCATTGTACAATTAACTGGTTTCTATCTCCCTGCCACCTTTCAATTTTCACCCACCTGTTTATCTTTTTTTCACTAATCATTATTATTATTATTATGGATTATATTTTCTAACTAAAAGGAGTTGGAATATGATCACAGTTATTCAATCGTTTATTATCATTATTATTAACTACTAATAATACTACTGACTAGTTTTTAGTTATAATCTTTTAGAAGATAGAAACATGATGGGTGGTTGACATAACTAATAAAAATGTTTCTCTGTATTTCCTAGTTAATTATCTTATTTCAAAAAAAAAAATTAATGAACAGTTTAATGTGAAAAAAACATCATAACTGATAGTATGTAGTTTGTCTAATAGATATATGAATTGAGGTCATAAAGTGTTTATTTTTTTGTACAAAATGTAGAGTGCATTATAATCGTCCTCTGTACTATGTTGTTCATTTTTAGTAGTGCACATATCAGTATCCTTACTTACTTACTTACTTACTTACTTACTTACTTACTTACTTACTTACTTACTTACTTACTTACTTACGCCTGTTACTATTCGTGAAAGAGCATAGGCCGCTCAACATATCAGTATCCAGTCATTACATTATACATGAAAGTCTTGAAAAATGGGGCTTTTTGAATGTTTCTTCTTTTCATAGTTTATCAATATATATATTCTTTTAATTAACAGTCATTCTGACAGTGAATAAATCAATGATTTACAAACACAAGGCAATGCTTTCAGCAATATAGAATTTCAGTGATCGTTCTATGATTTAATCAAATTTTTTTTAATCTCCATACTTCTCACTGTTAATTATAATTTACTTAAAATTAATTTTCTTTTTTATATTAATCTCTATAAACTATATTCATAATTGCACAAGGATTATAAACTAGAAACGGATCATGATTTGCAATGGAATCCAGGACAGGGTTGGAATGGAGAGTGCTGGTGCGCGACCTATGCTCCTCCACGAGAAGTAACAGGCTTAAGTAAGTCAATAAGTAATGATAACCATGAAACAATGAATTTAATACTATATTGGTGTGAATATAGTAGATTTATCTTAGTTAGACAACTGATGAAAACAAGAATTGATTTAATAATTATTTCGTCCTAATATAAAATTTCTTATCAATCCATATCTATAACCTTATCAGGAATCATAGGTCTCGTTGAGAGCGCTTGACTTAACCAACAATCTGAATAATTTACATTTCTAATTTCAATGAGTTTTTAAGATTTAAAGAAAAAAAATTCATCTTTAGGTATCATCAGTGAATTCTAATCAAATCATCACAGTGCTTCCAGGTTTTCAATGGTGGTCTAGCTTCAACTGACTCATGATTTCAACCTGTGAAATTTCTAAAACTCTCCACAAAACCCATTCTGATAAATGAAAATGTTAGTTTATTCAATAGTGTTTAAAATGTTAGTTAGATATTACGTATGAATGAGAAAAATTCACTTATCAACTATTTGTTCATTCAGGATGATCATTGAATAATTTGAAACTATGCACAAATTATAGACACTTTTAAAATAATTTTTGTATACAGTGTAATCTCTGAATAATTTTGTGATTTATTACAATTTACAAAGATTACGATAGAACAATGAGAAGACGGAGTTGATCTAAAAAATGTGATGTATTAGCGCTATACATTTCGAACAATCTGTAATCGAACAATGCAATCAAGGGTCAATGAACATATGCCTAGATGATCCGATCAATGTAGGAGGTAGGAAACCAAGCTCATCGATAGAAAAACATATAATTGAGACGGGGCACAAAGTTAACATTAATACAGCATTTGGAATGTTGTATAGAAATTGTCAAGGACGAATTCTTAAGTTTATTGAAGCCCTGGCTATTCGTAAATTTAACCCCCCCCCCTTATGTGTACAAAAACAATTTGTCGTAACCTTGAATTTACCTTGGTAATCCTTAAGTCATTCTATGGCCTAGGATAACGTGACAATTTCTTATTCTTTCTCTCCCATTAGTTATTTTAATTGGACTTTTATTTGTTTGACCTTTATTAATTTTCATATAAAAATACCCTGGCAAGTATATATGTGACCAGATTGTTCGAAATGTATAGCGCTAATACATCACATTTTTCAGATCAACTCCGTATTCTCATTGTTCTATCAAAATTTACAAAGATTAATCAAATGAGTAGAATGTAGATTCGTACGACGATTGATATCCAAAGGACTGAATTCATAATTTCAGTGAGAAACTTCTATGACAGAGGTCATCAGTGATCTTTCAACCAGTTACCAGTTGTAGTCGTTTGCTTATATGATCAAAATTTTCTATTTAATTCTCATATAAACGTTTATGTTTTTACCTTTACACACTTTTTTTCTAATTGTTGTCTTTTAATATACTTTGTGTCTGTATTAACACTTCTCTATTCTATTCATTCATTTGTTCATTGAAGAGTTTGTAAACAGAGAAGAGAGTATTTGTCTTTTATCTTAGAAACTATGTCTGTATCATTACTGATGAAAATATATAACTGTTACATTATATATCATGAATTCCAACTTAATAATGGTCTAGCCTTTGTACCAGAAGGTTTTAACAGCTTTAGACCCTAGCGAAAATACATCACTCGGTGTTTTTCAACTTAGTTCCTACCTTTAGAACTTGTCCGTTTTCTTTGATGAGATGTCATGTGGCGTATGATTATTACATCGAAAAAATATTATTGGAAGAAAAAGAATAAATAAAGTCAATCATACACCAACTTACTTTCATTCTTCTCGTGTACAACAGTGGTAGAATGTGTATCATTTATTTTATTGTCACTAATACAATCATTCATAGATGACTTGATTTTCACATCATTATCATTATTATTGTCATACACAGTGTCATTTTGTTGTTGATAATTATTAATAGGAGTTGTGTTAATATGATTATTAATGGTAGTAGTAGCATTAGTAGTAATAGTAGTGGTATTAATGTGAAATAATGGATTTCGTTGATATTCATGTAAGTGACTTGTCAATGATAATGACGATTTAACTTCAAGATCACACATTGATGAGTCACTTCCAGTCATTAGTTTCAATCTATTATTATATACAAGAACAGAAATCAATCTACATCAATGGTATTCTTTTATAAATAATCCGTTGTATTATTGTTAATCATCGAATAAAAGTGAATTGTTTCATGTAGATCTAGATGTAAACTGTTCAATGCATAACAAATATTCCAATTGATCATTGATAACCAACTATCATTGCAGTTTTAATATACTTCGAAATAAGGAAACCTACACACACACACACAGGGAGATTTAAGGAAAACAAAAACAATGTAAAGTATATTTAGTCGATAATATTTGAGAAAAACATACATAGTTAAAACAAAATATATAACATTTCTATGCCATATTACTTTTATTTTTTGGGGTCAAATATCTTCTAGAGAATGTCAAGTAGTATAGTTTGAGAAAAGGGTCAAAATAATTTTGATTTTATTTAAATAGATAGATAGATAGATAGATAGATAGATAGATAGATAGATAGATAGATAGATAGATAGATAGATAGATAGATAGATAGATAGATAGATAGATAGATAGATAGATAGATAGATAGATAGATAGATAGATAGATAGATAGATAGATAGATAGATAGATAGATAGATAGATAGATAGATAGATAGATAGATAGATAGATAGATAGATAGATAGATAGATAGATAGATAGATAGATAGATAGATAGATAGATAGATAGATAGATAGATAGATAGATAGATAGATAGATAGATAGATAGATAGATAGATAGATAGATAGATAGATAGATAGATAGATAGATAGATAGATAGATAGATAGATAGATAGATAGATAGATAGATAGATAGATAGATAGATAGATAGATAGATAGATAGATAGATAGATAGATAGATAGATAGATAGATAGATAGATAGATAGATAGATAGATAGATAGATAGATAGATAGATAGATAGATAGATAGATAGATAGATAGATAGATAGATAGATAGATAGATAGATAGATAGATAGATAGATAGATAGATAGATAGATAGATAGATAGATAGATAGATAGATAGATAGATAGATAGATAGATAGATAGATAGATAGATAGATAGATAGATAGATAGATAGATAGATAGATAGATAGATAGATAGATAGATAGATAGATAGATAGAACAATTGAACCCATTTTTAATTAAATTTACAAATGAAAATATATCCGAATGATTAGTCCTAGTTGTTTAAGTACATAAATGAACTATCTTATAGGACTATTCAGATTATCATTAAATATGGATTAAACTAGTGTATAAGTGTATGTATTCATGTATCAATCCGATTTCTTTGCGGGACCAATTAAATCCATATCATCAGTCCTTGTATTCCCGTCAAGCGTCATCGAATTCGAGGTTTCACTACGAAACAAGTCGGTTAAACATTTACCAGACTCTACATCAGTATAAACTATTGGCAGCAACATGAAACGGTTACATGTCAAGCCTTGATTAAGTTAGTGGACTTGTATTTTTACAGTGGGTTATGATGGATTGTAGTTGGTGTGTTATTGAAGAATTTTGTCTTATTTCCATTGAAAAATTATCAACAGATGGATGTTTTGTAAACGGTATCTTCCCTGTCTTAATTCCTTCTGGGGCCCTTTAAGAGTTACTGACCGTCTCAAGCTCAAGTGAAAGGTGGAAATCGGATTAGAGTTAGCGATCCTACCTCGTAAAAAATAACCTCGCTAACGAAACACTAACCAAACTAAACCAATTAATCCATGTTAAGTCTGCCCTGAGTTAAAGAATCTTCATATAGAAAAGTTATGGTACTTCATGATGAAAGCTAGGATTATTCAAAATCCAAAAGGTTGATGCCCCTTCTAACATCCAGTGTAACAAAGAAGTTAAGTATATGGAATGTATGGACAATGTGAGACGGTCTCTTTCTATTAAGTTTATCAATGAGCTTTAATAGATGATAGTTGATTCTTAGAGAGGTTCAATGTTGATCAATTCAACTAATTTGTTGATAGTAGATCACATTTACAAACAAATTATATTATGTTAGTGGTTAAACAAAAAAGCTATTAAAGTGCTAATACGAAACATTCCATCTACTTATTGGATAAATTAAAATCTGAACTGTACCATCTGCTTTAAGAATGTGGAACATATCATTCCTATTGTATTAATATAGTAAATCAAATCTTATATTGAACATTGAATAGAATTTGAAAATTCAAATGAAATCAGATTGTGAACTTAATAAATCATTTCTAGGTGTGAAGTATTATAATAACACAAACTATGTCCATCTGAACTCTGTCTAAGTTAGTTAAGTTCATCCTAAATGTTCACTGATTTCTTAATGCAAATGTACTATTCTACAGATTGATATAATTTATATATACCATATTACCACACAAAACAGTATTTCCTGTTCAAACAAGCAAAAATCAGTATATATATATATATATATATATATATATACTCATTCAATGCTCAGTATTGTCGGAGATTATAACTTTAACTGACGAGAATATCAAAGAAGAAACTTCAGCAGAGGGTGGTGAAAGCTAGATGGTAGAAAGAAAGATAGATAGATGTATAGGTTCTTTTGAAAGGGAACCTGTTATTCCACAACAAAAATAGAAGAATTTACCTTCCTAGAAAATTGCCGACAATCACCAAACAACCATTACTTGTAAAAACCCTTTGAAAAATCTATTAATAGAAAGTAGAATATGATGAATTCATTTTTTTCACTTAGTTTTTTCTGCTCATTTTCTCAGCTGTGCTCTTATATTAATGTCAGTGTTCTTTGTTTGTTGTATATAAGCTAAAAATTCTTATTTTTTGACAATCAAAAATGTATTGATACCAAAGAACTGTCAAATGCCTACATATTCCTCTAATACTACTATTATCACTTATATCAGTAGTAATAGTGGTTGATGATGTTGCTGTTGGAATGCTAGGAAAAGCAGATATAGAATGCTTAAAGAAATAGTCAAATTAAACATGGTTTTCTTTATTATAGACATTCAAATATTACTCTGTTTTATCTTTATTCTTTTCAAAAATATTCAATAGATAACAGAAAACTATCCAATTTTCTGACAGTCAACCAATCCCAACATATTCCCATAGAAAATCATTAAACTTCTACACGTCTATATTTATCTGTTACATTCCTATGTTCATTTTTATTTCACATTCAGTGTCTATGCACTAAAAATAACTGTATTCATTATCTATTTAACAAGTTTTATTGACCAACAATCACTTATTCATTTTTACACTGAAGATACACTGCACACAAGAAGGTGTTCTTTTTTTCTCTTCTGTCTTGTAGATCTATTTTTAAGAAGGTTTGTTATGATTACTAATATTGTTGCTACTTATAATCAAAATGAGAATCATATAGTATTCAAATATAGATTAGAAGATTGGAATAATGACAATTAGTTGACATTTGGAACATTTATCCTATTACTGTTATTGTTAGTGTCATCACTGTATTTTGTAGGTCAAGTACATACATACATACATACATACACATACAAAATGTGATAAGCAGATTAGTAACAAAATGTTTCAAGTAATGCAGACGATGAGACAAATCAATTGATTATCCGTTAAATAACTTCACGTGACCGATAAAGTAATTATTAGTCCGACAGAAAAGGGGTAAATATTACTAATCATATGTAAGTTAATGAAGCGAACCATGTTTAACATTAAAGAAAAAAACGTATACGACAGTATATAGCCTTGAAAAAGTGTGAGATTTCAGATATTAAATAAACGGAGTGATTTTGTAACAATTTCCATCATAAGCTAACATCATTTGAGAGGAACCACTGAAAACCACTAACGAATTAACAACTATTTCTTCTTAGATTCACATGATGTTGTTTTACTTGTATCTTTCCATTGTTATTTAGGACTACAATTGATCAGTCTCATGTTGGCATATGTGCATCCTGTGCGAATTGCCTCCATATAACCTTAAGTCACAAGCTTTTTAAACAAAGATGGATAGTGGCTAGCACTGGAGTTCAGGACGCGCGTTTCGTCCTAGTTGGGACTCATCAGTCGGATGTACCTGCATCCTAAAGTTGATGTTCACTCCGGGACTCGAACCCAGTGCCGTTCGATTCATATGCCATCGCATTATCCACTTAGCTACTTCTTAGTTTTTGAATCTTCCAGTAATGAACACCTACAATATTTCATCAAGGAAACCTTCAGGACTCCTGATGAGTCCAATGACTAATTATCTCTTATTTCCATAATAATTAACTCCAGCGATCAAGCTTACACTCTGGTAATTAAAGTTAACTAATTATGAAAGCTAGTCACTAGTGGAATTAATTAATTTAGTTATGTCGAAGACTGTTTACGATATGAAGGTAACATTCATCATCAAATAGTGTCAATGGGAGAATATTTTAAAAAAATCCCTACAAAACTATTCCATTCAACATAGTAATACAACGGGAACACAATGAGCTCAGTTTTGTACAGTACTATGTACAACAACTGATATATAAAACTTTCAGTTATATTAATAAATTTTATGAACAATCGTTTGTTTCTAACTTTTAATTTGAAATTACATATCCTCTTTAAATTTCTTTCTTTCGGCTCGTAATATGAATGAGAATATACATCTTTACCCGTATATCTATATATGGGATTACACTAAACACTGAAATATTATTTAATTCAATTATCGCCTAATAGAAGAAAACAAACAAGTAAACAGATAACCCATATAAAGATTAACAGATCTAAGACAAATCTCTATCATTTCTAATATGTCATAGTTCACTTAGTAACAACAATGAGAAGGAATGAACAAATGGAGAGAGAAAAACATGTACTAAAATTAGTAATCTAAATAACAACTATAAATAAATAGATATAATTGATAGAATTCAACATCTCGAATATACTTTTACAAAGTTGAAAATTTCAACAACAAAAATCAGAGATTTGCAAGTGTGTGTGTGTGTGTTTGTTTGTTTTAAACGAAATCAAAACTTTACACTGTATATCACTATACATATAGGATACCTTACATTGTATATGAATCATCGGAATTTCGGACTCGTTAAAGTGAAACATTCAAGTTATTCTATTCTCTATGATTATTTAGTATTACTGAATAGGATAACTATTTAAAAAAAAACACAACTAGATTTGAAATAATAGTTGAGGATATTGTCTCTATAGTTAACTTAATTCATAACATGATT